AACCAACTCCCGGTCTACTACACCAGCCACGTTCTTAGTGGTCCCGAGGAACGGTACCCCCCGATCGAGAAGTTGGCGCTCGCCCTCGTGCTATCCGCCCGGAAGCTATGCCCCTATTTCCAAGCTCACCTGGTGGAGGTGGTTACAGACCAGCCGCTCCGGCTGGTCTTGTCTAAGTTCGATGTTGCAGGACGGCTCCTCAAGTGGGCGGTGGAGCTCGGCGAACATGACGTTCAATACGTACCCAGGACGGCTATCAAAGCCCAGTCCGTGGCCGACTTCATCGCGGAGTTAACCCAGGACGGGAGTGGGAGCCTCACGCAACCTCCCGAGGCCTGGGTCCTGCACGTCGACGGATCAGCCAACTCAAAGGGTGCTGGCGCAGGGCTGGTGCTCCAGGCCCCCGATGGGCGGACATTCGAGCGTTCCCTCCGCTTCGGGTTCCGTGCCACTAACAACGAGGCGGAGTACGAGGCACTCTTGGCAGGACTCAGATTGGCCCTCGAGATGCAGGTGGACGTCCTTCACGTCCTCACGGATTCCCAGCTGGTGGCCGAGCAACTTAGCGGAGGATACGAAGCCCGCGACCCAACCATGGCGAAATACCTGGCACAGGTGAGGGGCTTAACCGCAAAGTTCCATCACTTTACATTGTCTAATGTCCCAAGGGGAGAGAACGAGCGCGCAGACACGCTGGCTAAGCTAGCCTCAAAACCTGCTCCCGAAGTCGGACCGGAGGTCGAGGAGCTCCCCGCCCGCGCCATCGAGGTCGCGGTCACGACTACCGGCAACGCGACCTCCTGGGTACAAGAACTACTACGCTTCAAACGGGACGGGGTCCTTCCGCCCGACAAAGCATCAGCCCGACGCCTGCTTCGCACACAGACGTGGTATATCGAGGCAGGCGGATGGCTCTACAAGCGGTCTTTCTCGTACCCCCTCCTGCGGTGCCTGGAACCCGACGAGGCGCAAACCGTCCTAGCAGAGGTACACGAGGGCGCCTGCGGAGAACATATCGGCGGACGGATCCTAGCCCATAAAATACTCCGCCAGGGCTACTACTGGCCGACCATGTGCCGGGATACGAGAACACACGTACAACGATGTACCTCATGCCAAGAGCACGCCCGCACGCCTCGGCTCCCCACAGTCCCGCTAACTCCTATCGACTGCGCGTGGCCATTTGCGCAATAGGGTTTAGACATCCTCGGGCCTTTTCCTTTAGCCGCCGGACAGCGGAGATACCTCATCGTCGGCGTGGACTATTTTACAAAGTGGGTCGAGGCCGAACCATTGGCGACGATCACGGCGCAGCAAGTAGAGAAGTTCGTATGGAAAAATTTGATTACTCAGTTCGGCCTGCCCACAACCATCATCACAGATAACGGGCCCCAGTTCGCCGGTCAGAGATTTCGGGAGTTCTGCGCGAGACGCGGAATCCGCCTGAAGCACTGCTCGGTCGCTCACCCTCAGACGAACGGGCTAGCAGAGGTGACCAACCGGTCCATTCTAGACAGGCTCAAAAGAAGGGTATCCGCGGCTCGGTCGACCTGGACGGACGAGCTCCCGAGCGTACTATGGGCGCTACGTACCACTCCAAAAACAGCAACGGGGGACTCCCCGTACAGTCTCGCATTCGGAACCGAAGCGGTCCTTCCCCCCGAGGTAGCCATTGCCACCCTCCGAACAAAAAGCTATGACGAGGAAGCATCGGGCGAAGGACTCCGAGCCGCTCTCGACTTACTGGAAGAGCGACGCGCAGACGCGCATGTGAGGGCCCTCTCCTACAAGAGGGCGGTCGCAAGGGTTTACAACCGAAAGGTACGACCTTGACCCATCGGATTAGGCGACCTGGTCCTACGGCGGACCGAGGTCAGCGATCCGACCCGACCAAGGGGCAAGTTGGCCCCCAGTTGGGAGGGACCCTATCGGGTGACCGGAGTCATCGGAACCGGCGCGTTCCGGCTCACCGCCATGGATGGTGAGTCCCTACCAAGGACTTGGAACACACAAAACCTCAGAAAGTTCTTTCCATAAGACTCGGCCGATCACAAGAGCCAAAGCACAGACAATCAATTGAGAAAGAAAAAAGGAGCATGTTCATTCGAAAACAAAAGGGGTGTTACAAAAAATAAAAGTGAAAAAGTACATCAATCCTCAAGGGCATCTGGGCTATCGTCGAAAGGAACCTCTGCTGGCATGTCGACGCCCAGATCCTCAGGAAGGGAGCAAAAAGGGTCTTCCATGACCTCCGAGTCAGGATAGCGCGCCTTAAAACGGGCGAGGGCCACCCGGTACCCATAATCGTATGAGACCCGCCCGGTCCGGACAAGGCCTAGTTGAAAACCCGAGGACTCCTTATAGTCCTCGATCAACTTCTTGTCCTTTTCTGGCCTTTAGCGGATCTCGGCCTCCAGAGCCTCGGAGGCCACCGACGCCTCGGCTCGGGCCTCCTCGAAACGCCTGATCAGCTCGAGGGAGTCGGACCTCGCCGAGCGAGCCTCCGCCACCGACGCCTTCAGATGCGCCTGGAGCTCCGTGTTGCGTCTCTCAGACTCCTCCAGCAGCGCCTGCAACTCCGCAAGCCGCTCAGCGGACGCTTGGAGCTCCGAATTCAGCCGCGCCGCCTCCGAGTCCAAGGCGCGCTGTTCGGCCGCAGCCACTACCTCGGGGCCCGCCCCGGCCTGTGCCTCATCCGCCTGCCTACGAAGCTCGACGTTGCGACTGCTTAAGGCGGCGATAACTTGTCCCGCGTCTCGTACGCGATCCATCAAAGCCGCGGCATAATGGTTGCCCTGAGGAAAAGGTAAGGATAAGGTCAGAACCGAGCCCGTCCAAAAACAGGTAAACCAAGGGACGAAATGACGCTTACCCATAACAGAGACTTAGCCGCCTTGCTAAGCAGAGCGCCGAAAGGCAGGGAATACAGGTCCCGAGCTATATCGGGATGAAGCCCGCCTCGGATGAACCTGCCCGCAATATCCCCGTCGGCCCAGACCCGGGTGCCTCGGGTAAGACCATCCCACCGGGCCACCAGCAGGTCGGTGGCCACGCTACGGGAAAGGGCACCCATCTCCCGCGCTAGGTACGGCTCGTCCTCCCTTAGCGGAAGGCAAAGAAGCTCGCGGACGGAAGGCTGGCGAGGCGCCTCTGTCGTCACACCCCCGCTCGCTCCAGTCTCGCCTTCCCCGAGACTCCCTGCGGCACCTTCCACCGCCGACGTCACCACAGCTCCCACTGCCGGAGCTACGACCACCTCGAGATCTCCACCGGATGGCGCCCGCGCCCTCTTCCGAGACCTGCTCGTCTCGACGTCCACGGGGGCTTCCCTCGTGCCCACCTTGGCGATGGAAGGCGAACGGCCCGACGAGGCGGAAGTCTTCACCCCACGCAAGTGCTCAAGACGCACCATTTCTGTCGAGGAAGACCGGGACAACTGTTAGTCAGATGAAAACACGCGAGAAAAAGAAAGAAAAACCCCCAAAGGAGCCGCTCCTCGGAGCATACCTAGAGGTACTGGGCTAAGACCCGCCTCCACTAACCACTGCTCAGACATGCTCTGGATAGCTCGGGAGGCCGAGAGGATTTCTCTAAGCCTCCGAAGCCCTCGGCGCTCATCATCATCCAAAGCCGGAGTAGTGTTGTCAATCACTCGCGCCCCCCAACGGACCCCAAACCCCCAGTCCTCCAAACGACTGACGAAAAAAAAGCGCTCCTTCCACCCCTTGTTGCTGGAAGGGGCCCCGCACACCCTGAAACCCGCTCGGGCAGACAGGTAGTAGCCCCCCGACCCCTTGGAAAGACGAAAGCAGGAAAGGAAGAGGGCGCGGGTCGGGGGTATGTCGGCGTAATGACACTCGCCCAAAAACGCCACCAGATAGCGCCACGAGTTCGGCGCCATTTGGGACGGGGAAATACGCCACTAAGAAAGGCAGGAGACTATGACAGGATGCAGAGGGAGGCGTAGCCCGGCCTCGAAGGCATCGAGTGTGAGGGCAAAGCCCCCAGGGATCGGGTCGTAGGCACGTTGGCCTGGCTCGGGAGCTAGAAGGACAAACTCCTCCGGGACGCCATAGCGATCCCGGAGGAGACTCAGCGACGACTCGCCCACGGTGGAGTCGTGGTCGTGGGGCCACATTAAGGCCTCTAGGGCCCTGGCCGCCTTCTCATCCGACGACGGGCTGAGGTTCGAGGAAACTGCCAGCTCTCCGACCTTCGACGAAGAGGAAGATGAACGGGAAGAAGAGGACACCATTCTTACTGACCTTCGGCAAGGAAGGAAGGAATGATTGGCAAAGACGATGGGGCACGAGACAGCTCGACGCACACGAAGGAAAAGATCTTCCCTCGGCAGCCGGCCTCACTCCATTTATAGGCGGCGACCCTCCCCCTCCCGTAGTCTGCTGCAGCGAGGGAAGGCGTCACCTCGCCATAAGTGCAGCATGGCATGGCAGAGGGCCGCGGCGCAGCACGGATACCAAGGCATCTATCATGACGGCCTCGGGGACGCTAACCGAGACAGACTTAAATGCATTAATCACGTTTAGCCCTAATCATGTCAAACCCGAAGCCCGGTGAACGCCGAAAAAGGACGGCCCCTTGCCTTCCCCAGAGAAAAAGCGAGCCCGGCCGCCCGCACGCTCACGCGGACCGCGCCTGGGTCCTGCTCCTCAGTTGCGTAATGCCCGAGGCTCACCAGCGCGGTCAGCCCGCCTGGGACCTGCTCCTCGGCCGCGTAATGCCCGAGGCTCACCAGCGCGGCCAGCCCGCCAGGGACCTGCTCCTCGG